AGCCACGTAAGAGAATTATATATATTAGATCAGAAACACATCATTAAAAGGCAGAATGCTTTGATGTTTTCAAAACGTAAACAAAACAAAGCAAACGTTGCCACCGGCGGAAAAGAAATACAGCCAAAATTTGGGAGCCACGTAAGAGAATTATATATAATAGATTTTATTAATAGCTGTCTGCTTTTAATAATATTTTTGTGCTCTTTAACGTTGTCTACCTTAGTTTGTATTTTAGCACAAAGGTCGCCCACTTGTGTATCTACTGTACAACATGCAGTTTCAAAAGCTTCAACCATTACTTTGATTGTCATTTCAAATTTACCCTGTTATCTCAGTTTGTATGTTTCTGGTGTGAATAATTAATTTTGATTTTATTAGGCTTTAATGTAACTTTAGAAGTAAAATAATAATATTTCATTTATAATATAACTGAAATTATCACCCATAGAATTGGAAAAAAGAATTTCACAAATGGCTTGGTGAATCTAGACTCTCAATATTTATTATTGATAAGAAGCACACAGTGAAGGTAACGGATTAATAAAATTTTTATTTTATAATTTATCAGTGGATGGAATATGACGCGTTTCATTTTTTTAGGAATATGTAAAATTTCCAAAAGACATTTTAATTATTTCCTATGAAATGTTTCTGCGATCAGCTGAGCTGTTATCATCTGTTTCTTTTGATCTTGTTATTTGTGATGAAGGTCACAGAATAAAAAATCTAAACATTAAGATTTCTAACGTGAGTAACTTATTATTCAGTTCTTCTCTGCTACTATTTTTTGATTTTGAATGTAGTTTAATTTGTGTGTCTACCTTCAGGTTGTAAATTGCTTATCTACTACAAAAAGGATTTTGCTGACAGGCACACCAATTCAAAACGATTTGGCTGAATTTTTCTCAATAGTTGACTTTGTGAATCCTGGAGCTTTTGGTATGAGTAGTTTTATTATGCCTCTTAAATTCATGACTTAGTGCTTTCTCACCGAATTTTATTCATTTAAGAAAGTGTTTAAACATATTATTTCAGAAGGATGTATCATCCTTTTTATATCTATCATACTTTAGAATTTCTTTGGCATTTATAAAACTGAAAAGAAGTTTAATGAATTTGAATTTCCTCCCTACCCAAGCAAATTGCGAATTCCACGCAAACTGCTTGTGTCAGACAGTCTTGGGGATCATTTTACCCGGTTGATTTATCTGTTTTTTTGGTTTTCAGAACACAGGGCACTTGGGATTTCAGAACCTCTATCTAGAAAGAGGTGCTAGCTCATGGGTTTATCATATAAAGGGATCTAGTGCAGAATTATGAAATTTTATTACTGTCAAATGGCTGGTAATAGCATTTTTAATTGCAGAATTTTTTGAAAATGCGTGGCCGCTATTTTAAAAACTACAAATTCTAAAGTATTAAATAAACTATTGATATTATTAATGTAAAGTATTTCTCAAAGTATGGATAAAATGTTTCCTGACTTCTTTATGTATGTTTATGTAAAATGTTATGTGACTTATTATAAGGGCTGAGAGGATTATAGGACATTTAGGAAGCTCAAGGTCGGGCCTTGAGCCCCCTTGATGTTACAATATTGTTTTATGTGTAATTGCAAAAATTGAAATAAATACAAGCACAAATTTACTAATATATTATGATTTACTTATGTTATAAAAAGCTTAAAAGCATTTATTTTGTAAATAAACAACATGTAAATTTGGTTTAAAGTTATGACCAGCAGTTTAAAAAGTATACACCATGGTTTACTTATAATGAGCATTCTCTTTGCAGCGCAAATTTAATATTGAAGCGACACTTGCAAACATCTAGTTGCACTGTCATTATATTGACAACTGAAAGCTAGCTAGATATCCATAATGAATTTGCTCTTTAGAATAAATTTGAGATTCCAAATAAAGATTATCCACTTTTACTTTACAGTGTTGTGCTAAAAATATTTAAACCAGAACACTAGCGACTGCACCGTGGGCAAGAAAGGAAAATTAAAAATTATCAAAGTTTCCTTATATTTATTTTATTTTCACTTTTATGTTTTTTTCTCTCAATTCACTGAAAAAACTTTATATATTTTTATTTTTTCTTTCTTACAAATCAATTTATAATATACAGAGACTTACAGGTTTATAAATTATCCATTAACTAAAATAAAGCATGAAACTGCTCTTGACAATTAAAAAAAATTCCAGTTCTATTCCTGTTTATCAATCAGTCTACCTAGAAACAACTACATGGAAATTAGAAAACATAATCTTTGTTTAAAAATAGAAATGTAGAATTATATAGTCTTAATCTAGCAAAATTATTTTCATACATAGCAAAGTTAACTTTGATTTAATATTACAAGTAGATTATACTAAAACTTTTTCTTCATATAAAAAAGTTAAAGTTGTAATCTGAAAATTAGTAATAAGTTCATTAAAATTCCCGAACCTTGTTTCACCACACTGATACGACCAGAAGGTCATACCAGTGCATTCCAGCCGAAATTACGCAACTGAATTTTAAAGTCAAATGCGAAATTACAAATCAGTCAAATATGAATAACAATATTGCTAGAATAAATATGTGCATTTATTATTATTATTTTGCTCTATTAACATTATAGCAATTTATACTGTTTGTATTAAGTTCTACCCTTAATTTTCTTGTTGAAAAGAAAAAAAAGCCAAAATTTTGATTGAAGTATCTGTGAAAATATATAACAAATTTTATTGTGTTTTTTTATATTTATAAACACCTGGAATTTTGTATTCCAGGTGTTTATAAATGTTAAAAACACCTTTTTTCTCAAAAACTTTCTTCTATCCATGTAATTACAAAGCATAAATTTAACTTTGAACTGCACACATCAATCCAACTGTGTGACAGAATAAAAATTATAAGCATTCACATTTTTATAGTTTTTAAATTTAAACTGTTTCTCAAGGTACTTTCAAAAACTTCAGAATCTCTTTTGAGCGACCTATTCTTCAATCCAGAAATCAGAATTGTCCACCTGAGGAGAAGGAAATTGGAGAAGAAAAAAGTGAAGAATTAAATGAAATTATCAGAACCTTCATGCTTCGCAGAACTCAAGAAGTTATAAATCGTTTCTTACCTCCCAAATGTAAGTCCCCCTGTTTTAAGAGTCATATGGTTAAATGTTTATTATTTTTCACGAAATTAATGATCAATAACTTTTGCTTAGTAACTTTTAAGACATTAGTGTATTCTTTAATTAAATTTTTTTCTCTGCAAGCTTATATAACTATATGTTATTTTTTAATTCCTTATTTTTACTTTTTTTATTTTCAAACCATTTTTCCATTGGACAACATTGAAAAAATGTGTGTGCAGAGTTGGAATAGTACAGATGGGAGAGAAAAAATGTGTTTTAAGTGTCAAAAAAGGAAAAATTTGTTTCAACATCAGAGAATTGACAAGTCATCGTTAGTCTTCCTCATAGCTTTAACTTTGATTTTAATTTGTATTTCCTTTTAAACTAACATTAAATGAGTAAGCAAGTACCAGTTTGCTCAATTTTTCAAAAAATTCCATTTGGTTGTTTTGTTAATATTAAAATAGAAAATAGTTAAAATGTAAAGAGAGCTTGGTACCGTCATCAATGCAAGCTTACTGTTAACGAAAAATGTGGAATTGAGTACTTCAATGCCTTTGTATTTCTCTCCATTCTTTGTGTTTGTACTGATGATACTCTTTTGTCCCTCTGCCTTTTAATTTTTTTATTTGTGCTTTGAGCATTTATTCTTAGATTATCTCCCAGTCATATTTAAGGATAACTTTGCTTTATTTGGATATTTTATGACTTCATTTAAAATTTTATGTTATTTACTTAATGATTTTTCTATAAAAATTATTTTTAAGATGTATTTTATGCTCAATTTCATTCACTCTTTTAGTTTTACTAAAACAATATTAATTTTTGTTTCAGCCGAAGCAGTTATATTTTGTCGTCCCTCTGAATTTCAAACAAGCCTTTATAAATCCCTGTTAGGCTCAAGATTTATTGAAGGGATTTTCTCCTCTTCAGGATCTGTTGATTCTTCTCTACAATTAGTTTACATATCAATGCTTAGAAAACTATGTAATCATCCTCATTTGTTGTACAGAGGAAATTCTGAAGAAGAGGTTAGGTTTTAATTTCTTTTTAAGTGAAAACCAATGTATTTAATACTTTCATTATTAGACGAATTGCTAATGATTCGTTTGGTCAGAAAGCATGTTGATCAAATTCATTAATTTTTACTGTATATGGGGGTGAAATAGTTTTATCAGAAACGCTGTAATGTCAAAAATATTTTTTTTAATTGTTGGAGGATACTCACATCCTTTAGAATAAATTTTGTTGAATTGCTCTATTAAATGAATTGCTTAAAAGCATAAAATGTTTTTGCTTTCATAGAATTTTTCAATATGTATTTAATTATTATCTCTATTTTATTATCTAAAGCACTAATGTATAAGTATGTAGGTAGATTGAAAAAAGGTGATACAAACTGAGCTATAAGTTGGACTGAAAGAAGTTAAAAGTGAGAAGTTCACATCAAAAAACAAACGTTTTATATTTTTGTTTTAACTATTTATCATTTTACCCAAGTTGAATGAAAGTTTAGAGTTATATTTTAGTATTAATAATGTTTCATGATTGCTAGGGGAGAAAGATGTGTTTTATCAACTGAGATCGGCCATCGATTTCTTGTTTTCATTTTCTTACTCTGTTCTTTAGTTTTCATTCATTTTACAAGTTTATGTAAGAATAAAGAATATGTAATTTCCCCAAATACCGAAGTTTATAATTTTGTATGTATAAAATCATAATGTACATAAATTGAATGATATGTTTATTAAGCAAAGGATTTTATATGAATGTTGAATACTTTTTTAATTCCAATTTTTAAAGAATATTATCATGCATACAAGGCTAAACTAAAATACTCAAGTATTCAATGGGAATGTGAAGCAAGCCTAGATTGTGTAAGTAGGTGAAGCAGCCCCTAGTTTACAGATGTACTATATCATTGACAGAAACATTTAAGTATATGCTCTAGCTCATCATCATGTTAAATTCTTAATAGTATGCTGTTGTTTTTTTTGCACATTACTAATGTATCACAGTAATTAAAATTATATTTAGCAAATGCGTTGCAAAATTTCATGAATGAAATCATAATTTGCATTAAGCAAATTCTTCTAATAACAATATGATTATAAGTTTGTTTGTTTTTTAACCTCCCAAATTTTCATGTTTATGAAAAGTTTTGTGATATTTTACCTGTTTAGCACTGCTTTATTTTTAAATAACACAAGAAGAAATGTTTTTTTTTTTAAATACCAGAAAGAAAAAAAAACTGAGAAGTTATCCAGAACTTAACACTGAGATGATTAAAGCTAGCTCAGGCATCTGAATATTAAAAAATTTCTACTGCTTGTTTAAAATAAAATTATATTTTTCAATATAGATTTTATTTTTTGTTCAGAATATGAATATTGGATGTCTTCAGTCTGTATTTCCTGTTAATTATCAACCAACATCATCTGATTCTGGGAAAATGAAAGTGTTAGAAAAGATGCTTTTGGCATTATTTTCATCTCATAAAAAGGAAAAAGTGGTCATTGTATCTGCATTTACCATGGTATGAATTAGTCTGACATTTAATTTTGTTAAATGTGAAATTTGGTTTACAATAGTTTTAAATTTTTAATCATCTATGTTATATGAATTAGTTTTTAATTTATATTAAGTTGCAATTACTTTTACTAAAAAACATCTACTTATAACTTATTTTTTGCATAGTTTGGAAAATAAAAATATGATTATAATATATTTGAATCTCCAGAACTATTGTGCTAGGGTTCTGAAATTCAGACAGCTGGTAAAGGATGGTATATTAGCTTCTGATCCCAAAAATTTCGATTAAATCTTTTAGCACAGGGAATCAATTACATCTTTTAGCAGAGACATTTAAAAACTGATTTTTTCTTATTGGTTTAGCATTAGTCATCATATTAAATTATTGGCGATGTTTAATATTTTATTAATATTTTCAAGATACCTGTGTTGTTTGTCAACCTGTGAGCTTTATTTAAAAAATAAAAGTTTATTGCACGTTCATTAATATTTAATTGTGTTATATTCATTTCGTTTGATAAGTTTAAGGATGAACATGGATTCCTAAGGTTTCCTGAAACCACATGTTTTTATAACTGACGTTGAACAGCCAACCCAATTATGAGTTTAAGACTACTTCAAATCCGTAGCCTTGTAATTTTGAACCCAATCCAAAAGACAAGGGAACTTCTGGATAAAGTATTGGGAGAAATTTACCTTCAGGGAGGACTTTTTGAAGGAACTGACCCGCATTTGCATTATATGGTAAGAAAACCCTCCCACAGTTAGCCTTACGGCAAGGAGACTCTAACCCAGGATCTGTCTACCACTGAGATTTTACATCAGCTTTGGTCTGTACGAGCCCCTGAGCCACCCCAGCTCAAAACCACATGTTTGTATTGTTTTTAGTTACATGTTTCTCTAAAACTAAATAGTGTAAAATCTACAATAATTAAAACAAAACAAGGTATTGTCTAATAGGCAAAACTAATTGAGAAAAGCTAGTTATCATTTCGAGGAGCCGTAAAAATTGCCTTATTTCGATGGAATGAACTTCTTAAAATGTGCATTGATCCGAAAATTATCTAATAAGGTAAAGCCACCAGGACGGGCTAAAATGAATGAAAACAAATTTTTCATTATTTTAGTATGTCTTTCAGCAAGCATGCACAAAAGTATGCTTGAACAGTGTTGATCAACACCAATTTATTATTTGCATTTTTTTCATCCCGTACAAAGAACCAGTATGCAGAGGTATCCAGGCTAATTAAAATACGATTCTCTTTAAGGTTTATAATATTTTTTTAATAATAAAGTAAACCTTGTATTGTAGTTATATAATTCCAATTGCATCAAATTTATTTTTTTTAAATTTAATCTCTTAATTTTGACTTATATTTGCTTAAAATTATAATGTAGTTTTATGGAAACTATATTTATGCTTAAAATTACTTATATTGTTTTTAAGAAAAAGCAAACTTAGAATGTGAATATTTGGTTACAAATATCTCATAGTATTCGCTACAAGTTTGAACAATGGTATCATTAAAAGGAAAACAATTATTTTTACTCATTTATGTTTATTTAACATGATACATCAACATTTTTATTATTGCATTTAATTATGTGTCTCAATCTATACAGTTTCACCTAAATATCTTACTTGCTTTCTCGAAAATTTGAACAATAATATATGTTTCATTGTTTCAGAGTCTTTGATAACTTATGGCTTGAATTGTTCAAATTCTATTACAAAAAATTTAAATGATAATATGGTTCAGTATGATTTTTCTAACTTAAATTTTAAAATGACATAATTTTTATATGAAATAATTTTTAAATCATTTAACATTCTTTATCCAGTTATTGGCATTCAAGGTTAGTCTTAAATAAAACTAATATTTGTGACAAATATAAAGTTATTTTGGTTCTTTAATTATCATTTATATTTAATTCACAAATGAAAAATGCTTGTTTTATATAACCTGTAATGTAAAACATGGTATTTAGACTTAACTGTTTTATTTCTTTATTTTAGACTCTGAATTTAATTGAAAATCTCTGTAAAGAAAAAGGTTACTTTATTCTGAGGCTTGATGGATCCACTGCATCAGCATCTCGGCAGGATATAGTCGACATTTTCAATCGTTCCTACACAAAATATAGTAATATTTTTTTAGATTATTTAAATATTTTGCTTAAATTTTAAATTCAATACTTGTTGATTCTGTTTATTTTGCTAGTTTAGATCATAAATTTTCATGGATCATTTTAATCAAAGTAGACTCATGAATTGAATTAACTAAATATATTATCCTATTGCTGGGCCCATGCTTAGGATTTCAAATTATTAGCCAGTAAATTAGCCAAATATCAAAAGTATTCGCCAATTTTCAAAAGTTTTCACTAAATGCAAATCTTAACAATTTTTAATGATTTTTTCCCCATAGAAAACTATTTTACAGTAGTTTGTTTCAGGCTTAAATTATTTGAACCTAATTCTAATTGGCTATGTAGCACATCTACCGAAAACTACTGTAATCGAATAAAAAATAATTATTTGTTTAGAAAAATTCATTTTGACGTAATTTTGAGGATCGAGTTAAACATAAATTTTTCTTTCCAGTAGAAAAATTCATTCTCCAATGCTTTTGCCAAAACAAAATTTTATTCACCAAATTTATTTTATCGCATTTAGCGAGATGGCAAATACTTAGAGCAGGTTCTTCTATTGGAATTACTGTATTTTAACAAAATTAAAATAACTTTGATGCTTTCTAAAAATAATTTTTGTAATTTAATTAAAATACTAATTTATAGTATATAATTAGAGAGTAGGAGTATATAATTAGAGAGTTACGTTCGCAGTGAAATGTTAAACTTTTATCATAGATGTAATTTAAATTCCAACATTTAATGTGGACCATAATAAGCTTAATTTAACTTAGTTTATGTTACTTTAAGTTTTATTTTTATATATTTTTCATCCCACTTAAATTTTCAAATACTGTTTTTCAGACATATTTTTACTCAGCAGTAAAGCCGGAGGAGTGGGTTTGAATCTGATTGGAGCCTCTCGAATAATTTTGTATGATGTTGATTGGAACCCGGCTAATGACCTCCAGGCAATGGCACGTATCTGGAGAGATGGACAGAAGAATTTTGTATATGTGTACAGATTATTAACAACGGTATAAAGTTTTATACTTTTTTCGAAAGAGTGTTTTTAATAAAACATTTCATTTATAAATATATTATGTATACTGCTTGAAGTTAGATTTAGTAATTTTGTTTCTTGTGGATTTTTGTGCCTAAAAAATCTTTCAGGGAATTTGACTAAATGAACACTTTAGCTTGGAAAACCTTCATATCATTGCAATGTTGTCTAATTAAATACTATTTGTTATTTTATTAAGATTTATTTTTTATTATTATAAGTTGTTTTGTAATTGTGGCTATGATTAATTTATAATTTAAAATACAACTTTGTAACTTTGCAAAAATAGAGTTTACAATTTCTGTTTTTTTTTTTTTTTTTTTTTTTTTTTTTTTTTTTTTTTTTTTTTTTTTTTTTTNTTTTTTTTTTTTTTTTTAGAAATTAATACTTAATATGTTCATCATTAATATTTACAGATCAAAATAGGCTGTTGTTTATAAACATATAATATGTATACTTATTAATGTTAAGCCATTTTTATATGCAAAATAGTAAAATTCATCCTCGCGCAAAATGGTTTCAAATTTCTTGAAACAGAAAATTGAAACTCAGAAGGGTAAAAAAAATTAAACGTGCAGCAATAGACATTTTTGGTCAAGAATTAATGTTTGGAATTTAAACAAGTTGGGTGTATTATATTTAAATAAAAATAATTAATTATGATGTATACTAAAATTGTTTATAAGATTATTATTATTTATTATGTAAATTGGCAGAAAAAACGCACATTAATAAAATCATATTATATGCGTAAATTAGTGAATAGCCTCCTGTTAAATTTTCATTAATTATTAACTTGATGATAGATTATCATAGATCTGGAAATTAAAAAAAAATCATGAAACTGGAAAGTAAAAAAAAAAACATTGATTAACAAATGTTCCATACATTTAAAAATAAGATTCCGTGTTCTGTTAAAATTTGTAATTAGGTTCTATACTTCTGTAATAAATTGAAAATAAAATTTCATAATTTAAATAAGGATAAATTAGTATGTGGCCCATTTCCTCAATTCAACACTTCTGCAATTCTGAGTTCAATTCTTTTTACATGTTATAATAAATAAATAATAAATTTTCTTGAAATGATAAATTTAAATATGTAAGATTTATATTGAATTTAATTTAGATAAAAGAATGACCTCTTATTTCCCACTTTTTTAAAATATTGAAATTATGAAATTGAGTTTTTTTTTCTTTTTTTAAGAATTCAAAGATACTGAAAATTCTTAAAACCGCAAATCCAGTAAGGTAAATAAGAAATGTTAAATATTTATATATTTCCTGGATGGTCCCTCAGATTCAAACTTTTCACTTTTTGAATTGCAATTAAATATTATCTTTATTAAATCAAACAATGAAAAAAGAGATATTAACATTCTAAAGTGATGAAGTTCACACGAAGTTGACTACCCTGAATCCACATAAAAAGTCTAACTAGTGAACTGTCCCAAAGTTTAAGATTTGTGGTACTGATCTATAAATAGAATAGTTCACTACTATCATGAGCTTTCCAGCAACATTAACAATGAGAAGAGCAGCTGGCGTGCTGGTCGTAATTAGATATGAAATCAGGAGTCAGCACATAAAAAAGCGTGGAAGGAAAACATTTAGCAATTTCAATTGTCTTCAGAATAGGTGAGATTCAAGTAATTTTTGGCCCGATTCTGAAAAGTGGGAGATAGAGCCAAAAATTGGGTTTGTTGTTAAGTATTTAATTATACTTCTACCTTTATTTTTACTTTTGGAATCCTTTTCTTTATCATTTGAATCCTCGTTTTTTAACCTTTTTTGAATACTTAAGCATTTATATAATGATATTCTTAAATTTGTTTCTTTAAAGTATTCGTTTAATTCTTTTTCATCTAATGATATTAAAAGAAAAATAATTTAACGACAAAAATAAAAAATATTGAGGTTTTTCTCAAACCTTGGTTATTTACCTACAGTGCTTATTGTATGTACTGATTCATGACCTTAAAAGAAAATTGAATTTTATTATTATTCCTTAATAAATAAATGCTTTCACTTGTGCTTAGTATAAATGCTCATAAGTGAAATAAAACTACAAAACTTTTCAAAAAGCAAAAAACAAAATTCTACAAAATTTTTTAACTTGATGTTGTTGACTCTAAATATTAATTTTATAACTTAATTGTTTATTTATTTTAATAAACAGGGAACCATTGAAGAAAAGATATATCAAAGACAGCTTTCAAAGCAATGCCTTAGTGGGTCTGTTCTCAATCCTAATCTAATGGAAAAATTGAAATTTTCACAAGAAGAATTGAAGGTAATAATCATTAAAAATAAAATTTAATTTATTTATAGAATAGGATTTTACGAATTCAACTTTGAAGCGTATTCACATTGCTTTGAGATTGAACTGGTTAAAATCAAGGAGAAAAGAAGATTTTTTGCATAGTCACTCAGCTGTCCTTGTTATCAAAGAGCAAGGACAGGCATTACCAGGAAACTTAATTCTGTCTTCCATGCAATGCTCAATAACTGATAGTTCGGGTACAGGGAGTACTGAGTTCGATCCTTGAAGTTAACTAAAGAACCAGCATGCCTATGCCGCAAGGTGCACATTAAATCTGTCATGGCTGAAAGTCATTCTGTTGGTTGTGATGTGGAAATTTGGAGAGAGAGGCACCAGCTTAGGCAGTGTCCACATCATTTTTATGTCAATATTATGTAGCATTCCTGCCATGGCCGTTGAAAGATAGAGCCTTAAAAACAGGGATACTCTAAAAAAGTTTTGGGTAAATGTGCAGTAAAAAGTTCTTTCGTGATCAAAGCTGTCTTTGGGGATGATTGTTTATCAGAATGGCAAGTCAAAGTTGTGAAACAAGGCATTTTTTTTAATGTTGTAAAGAGATCAACTATAAAGCATTTTGCACTGGAAGGCCATGATTGACTTCGACCAACAAAAACTGTCACATGCATGATTAAACTTTTGAAATCGAACAGTAGTTTAAGTATTCATTTAGTGCACCATCAAACGAAGGGTTTTATCATGTCAGACCTTCTATATGGAATGATTAGAAACTTTACCATGATAATATACCTTGCCATTCCATCTTGTATTGACTTTCTGGCCTATTCAACATTGATATCGATAACCCAACATTCCTTAGGTTCTGACGTGCTTCTCCTAAAATTCTTTTTTTCTTCATGGGCTTAAAATTACCATTAAAGGATTCGTCATTTCGCAGCAATTGACAAAGTTAAAAAGAAGAAGAATTAATTAATTGCCAAATTGTATGTTTTTGATAAATTTGGAATAACTATGGAAAGTAAAACATGACCTTCCAAAGAAGTAAATAAGCCAACTAAACGTTTATTTATTACTCATATAGAATTCCTTGTTGTCATGTAGGGTAAAGAATTTTTTTCTTTCGAAATATCCATGTATAGCTGAACTAGGACAGTATGTTATTGGGGAGGAAAAATTTAATGTGTAGGTAAAAAAATGGTTAACAGAAATATTCTGATAAAAATGGTTTAGACTAATGAAGTTCTACATTATCTTGTTTTTATGAAACTCAGTAAATTATAGTATGAACATAATATTTTTACAGGATTTGTTTTCGGTTCATTGTGACACTATGTGTTTGACTCATGATCTGATAAACTGCCAGTGTTTAAATTTCTCTAGAGAAAGGAAAACTAGCGATGATAATGAAATTACTAAGATAAAGAAAAATAAGGTACCATTTTTTAAAGATTGTTTTTAAAATGAATATTGTGTGTAGTACTTCTAAAATTTAATGTTTTGTTAAATTTGTTTAGAATATTGGAATGGAAGAACTTATGAATTGGCATCATATATGTGGTCCTATCTCCCAAGAAAATACAAGTGTAAGTATGACAGTAGTTAACTCTCCTCATAATGTTATAAAGCATTATGCCTCAAGCTTCCTAGATAAGCTATGTATATTATGCCTATAATAGTCTATCCTTCCAATGTATCCTAACTGTTTGTGGGATTACAGCGAGGGAAGCTCTGGACTGTTATGCAAAAAAAAAGTGCAAAGGTTCTCCAGGGAGCCATGGTAGCTCAGGGGATAGAGCGCTCATCTCCAATGAGGTGGTTGAAATAACAGTGCTGGCTGTTCAATACGATATCTGCACCCAGCTTGTACTGATCACAATGCAGAAGTAAAATATTCTCTGTAGTAGACGAATAATTAGTTGGAGACTCCTTGCCATCGGGCTAACCATGGGAAGTTTTTGTGGTTTTCCTCACTGCATAACGCAATTGGGAGTTAGTTCTATCAAATAACAAAGGTAAATCTCTCCCAATACATGATTTAGGAGTTCCCTTGTCTTCTGAATTGGGTTCAAAATTACAAGGCTATGGAGTTGAAGATTGGTAGTCGTAAATACAAAAATTAAGTCAGCTGTTCAACGACAGTTATAAAATAAAGGTTCTCAAGCCCCTGAGAGATCTTTCTCTCACTATGTAAAACTTTTGTTTAAAAATTTTACCCATTTTTTCCCCTCTATCTCTTTGAATATTGACAAAAATAATGTTAGTTCATAAATTTGCTGCACATAAAATAATCTTCTTAGTTATTTTTAAATCACTTTTATTTATTTTACATCGTTTTCATATTTTTCACAATCCCATGACCACTGTTTAAATACCTTGTTACTTTTCCATCCATTTCTCTTAAGGTTGTATAAATGTAATTTTCTTTCTTTCTCTTCTTCAGAATGGTTGTTGGTTTTTCACCCATTTTTAACGTATTATAACTTTTGTTAAAATATAGCCACAATTTGTTTTAAAAATGTGATGGTAAAAGTTTACCATGAGAATATTTCGTTTGGCATCAGTTGTATCATTTTTGGTGACTTTATCACATCTGTCGGCGTAATGGAAAAGTACCAAAGCAGCTTTTAGTTTTAAGCTTTGGAATGATAGTTAAGTTTTGGAATTTTAATTAAAATAAAAAAAACTTCATAAGACAGGATGGTTAATAAATATTTAAGGTAAATACCTCTAAATTATTAGAAGTAATTTGTCAGTTAGTTTTTCCCTTTCTGTACAGCTCTCCTTTAAGGAATATTTCTTTTAATTAGGAATTGAGATATATCGGGTTGAGTAAAAAGTTTTCCGCCAAAAAAAAAAACAATCCTGTAAAATGATAAATACATAGAAAATCAGCAAAGCTAATGAGGATAGTAATCTCCATTCAAATCAACAATAGATTGCCAACGTTTTGGCAACTTTTCAATCCCTTCTGTGAAGAACTGGGGGTTGCGCGAGTCCAGAAAGCGATCAACCTCGTTTATGACCTCGTCATTTGAACGGAAGATTGTGCCTTCAAGATGCAGATGTGAAAACAGATAGTAATCCGAAGGCGACATGTCTGGTTTGTATGGTGGATGTTGCATCAATTCCCACTCCAGCGTGTAGAGGGTCCAGCCGGTCATTGCACTGACATGTGACCGAGCGTTATCTTGATGAAAGAGAGAACCACCTTCCTTCTGAACTCGTTTTTTCGTTTTTCGCGAATGGCATCGCTGTCTTTGATTAGCATATTGCTGTATATTGTACTGTTCATAGCCTGCCCTCTTTTCAGGTACTCCTTGTAGATAATTCCACACCAGATACAGATAAGGACCTTCTTGTTAGTTAGCGTTCGTCTTGCAACCGAACCTGCTAATTCCCCGGGTGCTGACCACCCTCCTTTATGGCTAGTGTTGTTGTAGTGTACCCATTTTTCATCACAGGTCACAATTCTGTCTAGAATGTTCTCTTTTCTTTGATCTCTGAGCAGAACCAAACAGACCGCTTTTCTTTTGCTCTTGTCTTCAGCAGTCAATTCCTGAGGCACCCAGCAGTTAAACTTAAATGTTAGATTTATGCGTTTGAGGGCATTTACTATTGTTTTTTGGCAAACGTAAAGCTCTAACGCAATGGTTCGTGTTGAAACATTTCTGTCTTGATTAATAATTTGCTTTAATTGGTCACAATCAACCGCAATAGGGCGGCCAGAACGTAGTTCATCTTCAATGTTGAAATTCCCACTATTAAACTTTCGAAACCAAACTTTTACTGTATCATAAGAAACAGTATTGAAACCTAAACTTTCACATATTTTCTTGTGGCATTCAGTAACACTGTGTTTATTTCGAAACTCATACTACATAATCGCTCTGATCTGCTTACGTGATAGCTCCACTTTAAACACTTTTTTGGTGCACAAGATGATAAAGTTTTGACAAACAAATTACACAGTTGTGTAGTTTCAACTTTCAGCTTTAAAATGCAAAAGCCCGTTTCAGAAAAGGTTAACTACCATGGGAATGGCTGCTGCTGGCACGGAGGCATCTCCCCTTGGCGGAAAACTTTTTACTCAACCCGTTATTTCACTTGTCAGCTATTCTTTGTAATTTTCCATAATTATGATTATTCCATAATCATATTGCAAATTTTATTAGTTGAAAACATTATTTACAATTTACATAAATTTATTTGGAAAGGTCCGGGTAGTGTTTCTTGATAGAAAGGTTTCAAAAAAGAGAACTGTAACTACTGGTTAATAACAAATTTTACTAATTTTGTAAATGCTGTTACAACTTTTAATATTTCATGCTGATGATAGCTAAAGATCTCTGTATCTTATTTCTAAATTAAGGATCTCATCATATGAGTTTTCCGTCTAATATAATATGCAGAAAAAAAAAGAGAAACTTTATTTGACCGTTTGTTGTTGAACATTTCTGTAATGAATTTAGGATATAGTGAATCCCCTTCTGAATTCCCATTTAACTAATGTTGTATTATACACTTATAGTACACAGCTTAAAAAAAGTGACTCATTTATAGCAGACTCTAATTTTATTTCTTAATTCTTTATTTTTTTTATTCCTCAAACTTCAAATTTGTAGGAGTTGTGATTGCATATGAAGATATTTCTTTACATTATGCCAAATTTTGCTTTTACATGCTCTTTCCTCTTAAACGAAGGTGAAAAAGTTTTTAAGCACCACATCCTTCATCTTACCTCCCCTCTCATATTGTAGCAGGTGCAGAAATTTCAACATTTATCAGCATTAAAGGTTCTTAATTTTTTTTCCTGGAGAAAATGAGGACTAAAAAGCTAATCCTGATTCCTTATTAATTGTTGACACGAAAATTGGTAAACTCTACTTAAAATCGAACTCAATCAAAAAGTACTAATTTCTCCCATAGAATGTAAAAACTAATTGGTTAAATTTATTTTAAATATTTGATTTGTTATATATTTAATCTTCTAATAAATTATAAACAATTTAAGTACTATATTGTAATCACTATTGTCATATGTTAAAAATTAATTTTTCAAAGAATTTTGATATAGTGAATTTATTGCTAGGCCTGCAGACAGTTCACTATAACAGGGTTTAACTGCATATATTTTTTTAATGTTATATAGAGACACACGAACATGCTAATTACAAAGTATACAAAATTCTCTGCAGGACTTCTTATTGGCTGCAGGCGGAACTGACATAACATTTGTATTCAAGAATGAAGTCAATTTCTCTTCTCACTCCATCACACCGTGAACAACTGCCATCCTCTGTATTTAAAAAAACAATGAACATTTGCATTTAGATAACAATAAATTTTTGTAAAAGCAAAATCAACATATTTATTTGTAAATAATAAAGTAATTTATTCTAGTCAGCAAATTCCTTATTTACTTTTAAAAAAATGTAGTGCGTTTGATACAAGTGGATTTATTATTTTATTTATTACTATCAGAGGCCATTATTATTAAAGCTTAAAAATAATCCTTTTTACAGTCAGACCTCGATAAAAGGTCATCCACATATAAGGTCACTTTTCCAAAGTTCCGGTTCACTGAATAGGAATTCTTTGTTACAGATTATCGAATATATGATCAAGTTTTAAAAATCGTTATCGCTTATAAGGTCATTTTTATCTGAGGCGAGCTCTTTTTTCTAACAAAAGTCTATTTAACCTTCTTACAAGGCAATTGCCTCTCTCGAGTTCTAGGAAAATGTTGTAGCCAACGAACAAGCTACAACACAAACTGGTAAAAATAATGATAAATGTTCATGAGAACGGGAGTTCGAATCAAGCTGGCCAAAGACTTCCCTTGAAGTAAATGGTGACTGGTGCACATTAAATCTGTCAGATCACTAAGTCCCCCATGTTCCCATAACAAGTTATACCTCTTGGGGTACTGAATCGGAGATTGATCGTCTTCTGGTTCAGGTCAAAATTACGATCTGCGGCTGAATGAATGGGTCCCCCCTATAAACAGGTGTAACGCATGGGTGTGGCAGAAGTCGAATTCTTCGCCATAGATGACATCACTGAAGAACAAGAGCAATTGCACCCCTTGCCTTAATGGCTTACAACAACAACAATGGATAATTTTACATATGTACATATAAGTATCTACTAAAATAATGTAACTAAAATAATTTAGATGAAAAATACTTTTAAAATCATAAATAAACCACATATATGAAAATGACATTTCGCAAAAAGAGTAAATACAATTGATAAATTTATTTTATCCTTTGAAAAGAAAGTTACACAGATTATGAATGACATAAATTATTGTATTCATCTAGGACTTTGGATAAGAATTTAGGTGTTCATGTCCCTTTTCCTTCATTCAAAGTGTTTTACATTTATTATGTTGTAGCATCAAAAGTAATAATGGTTTAAATAATTTCTTTGCAATTTTTTTTCAAAATAAAATGACTAAATTTTAGTCACTATAGTGTGGAAATTCTAATGGACTTAAAAATTACATTGTCATAATAAAATAGAAAACGAGGGTCTATGCATTAGTTGCTATAATGGGGGTCATACTAAAGAGTGTAGACTGCATTTGGTTGTGCAACCTTAAATGCAATAAAATGTTGTAAAATTTTAAAAAGAAAACGAAACTATATACAACAAAAATGTTTTTCTTTTATTAAACATTCATATAAATTAAATAGATGTTATAATACCTTACTTAACTATTATCATGCAGGCATGAATAAGACAATAAACATTTATGTATTATTTTTTTAAAACCAGTATAAAAAACAAGCTTTTTAATTATTAAAAATGCAAGTCTTAATATGGCAAGATAACAAGCAGTTTGATAGATATTTAGATTCAATAAACATGGTAAACTCATAACTTTTATACAGACATATAATGGCTAAAAAACTATAACAGATAAAGGCTATATAGTGACGCAAAATACACAAAAATAATATATCACAAGTTTTTAATTAAAACGGTAAATACTTTTAAATAGATAAAAAAAAAATAATTTAAGTTCTTCAACAAAGTTGTCAGGTAGAAAAAAAATGCAACAAAAAAGGAATGTTGAAGTGTTCAATGTAACTTATAAATTAACTGTTTTTGAAAAGGGCAATTTTTATATTTAATATCAACAAGCATAAATTTGAACTAATTTTTGAACTGAGTATAAGTAAATGATTTTGGTTAATCATAACTATGAAACAAAGAGACTGAAGAAGGAAATACTGAATTAAAAGACAGTGAGTTGAATAATAAGTTGTAATTTTTCATATTCTATATCTATATTAGGTTTGACACATTTAAGTTATACAAAATATATTTTGAACATCAAAAAAGAGAATTTATTAAATGTATTCTCTAATAAAACTAAAAATGTACAAAGAATATGGCACAACTAAAGATACTACAGAAAAGAATAGCTAGTGGGTGAAAATAAATTTTTTGTTGTTTCTATGTTTTTCATAAATGCTAAAGTATATCGACAGGGTTAGTAAATTGCAAAAAATATTTATGTGAAAAAAAACCTGAAAAATACTTCAAGATTACTTCATACAATCAAATGAAGATAAATTAATTTTGTTATTACAGATATGTGTAATTTGTTTCCATACCAGCTGTTATTTTAGTTTAATATGTAAAATATTTAAAAAGAATCATAAGTTTCTAGCTTTGGAGTAATCGATTTGATTGTAAGAGTGCTTTTAGAAAACTTGTAAATAATTGCTATACCTTTTTTGAGAGATCTAGGACAAATTATTGAAAACAAAAAGTATACCTACTTAAAAAATTTTAAGTATTTAAAAACTGGCAAAAAATATTTAGCAAGAATTCAATCATAAATTGATCCCTATGTTAGGTATTATAGTAATTTTGATATATTAACTAAGATGAAATGAATATTTTAAGTTTTGACAATTATGTTTCGTTAAAAAGTTTTTTTTTTAATTAATAACATAATATAGTAAAAATATCCAATATCTTTTTACTTTAAATATTTTTAGTAATACCTCTTATTGTTAAAATTTAATTATGTATATAAATAGATTTCAAACTTAAGTACCCAATAAATCCATTTGAAGGAAAAATTCTTTGATTCTATAACAAAAGATAAACTATTTTAATTGCAATCTATACTTTTTCCCTTAAATTTAATATCATTTTCATGTTAACTTATTTATGAATGCCTTTAATTACATTTTAAATTAATTTTAAGAATTTGTACACACATATTTCACTTAGTATTCATTTCATTTTGCTGTTTGTGGTATATCCATAAAAATATAAATTAATTGATCGTTTAACATAAACAAAACAATTTGTTTGCTGAATAAAATGACATGTAAAAAATAGTTTGTTGATCCCTTAAAACATACAAATACAGATTAACAAGTTTTCACCAAAAAAGTAAAAATCAATGTATTTTGTTTTAAATTTTGATCATTTTATGCACACATGCTGTAGCATTGCAACCAGAAATATTTATCCAACTTATGTATCAATAATAAAACAATTATTTTTATGCATTAATAAAATAAAATTTGGGTTTTATGTCCCAAGAATTGTATGTCACATAAGGGCAAAAATGGCAAAAGGGATTTATGAAGATGGACATAATTTTTTATCTTGGTAACTAGATCCTTCTGGTATCATAGCAACATCTAATAATTTATAACGATATTGTCCTTCTTTTGCTAGAGCTTCAGGTCCACGTAATGCTCGAGCCTAGAAATAAATTAATTATCATTTTTCAATCAAATAAATTTCTTCTGAACACAAAATCAACTAAGGCAAATTAATTTCACTTTATATAAAATCTGTCAATTGGCAAAACAATTAAAACAAAATTTGATTTTATTCTATACCAGCGGTTCCACTGTGCCCGAGGTTTCTTTAGAAAGATTACAGAAGTTCTGAAAGTTAGGACTTTACTTAATTAATTATGATTTTTAAAACCTGTATTATATTTGTATTTCATCAATAAACCATTATTTCTTAAAATTCATATAAATAACTAAACTATTAAAGTAAAATTCCATTAACATTTCTTTTTGGTTTTTATTTCAATGCAAACCATAATTCAGATTGCATACTCATACACCAAAAATAAAATCTGAACTAGACTAAATGCAGATTCAGACATGTGAATTAAACTGCTTGATGAATTAAACTGCCAGCATTAACAAACAATGAAAAAAATTTGATTCTTCAATGCAACTTTTTAAATCGAAAATTAAACAAAATTCAACAATAGAGGAACACATTTCTGTAATAACCATTTCCAACTTTTATAACAGTTCTTTTTAGTTTTCATTTCAATGCAAACCATAATTCAACGGGCATACTCATACACCAAAAACAAAGTCTGAACTAGACTAAATGCAGGACTGGACCAGTGAATTAAACTGCTTGATAATTATTTAACTGATTAAAGAATTAAACTGCCAGCATTAACAAACAATGCAAATATTTGATATTCCTCACACTTTAAAAATAATTAGTCTTTTTTTTGTGGTCAATATGTTCACAATAGCTAATAAACTCAATTGATAAAAATGCAGGTCGATCATTTAGGGCCCCATGACTGAAAAAAATTAGGAAAACTGCTGCTCTAGACACTAAATAAATCTAGTGAAATTAAAGACACAAATTCGGTTTCCAGAAAAATACATTACATACATCAATTATATTCTAGGCAAACAAATATTAATTTAATAGCATCTCTATCACTCTTAATCATAAATTTAATTCATTGAAAAAAATGTGTAGAAACTAATGAAGTTAAAAGTGCCCTCTGGGTTAAAAAAAAAAAGTAACTGGATTAATTTGAGACACAGAAGAGACAGGAGATCATTGTGTATAAATTGTAAATAAAATGTTCAGTATTGTTCTATGGAATACTTATGAAATTGTGAAGAGTATTCCCTGATTTTTATTATCATGGAGGTAAGATTACAAATATACTTCTGTAGAACTTTATTTAATAAATCAAAATATTTTCAGGGTGGATATGGGTTTAAGGACACATGAATCAAACATAAACAGCATACATTACATGCTCTAGCTAAGTTGATTTAACTGTGCTCTAAACTAAGTTTGATTTTTAAAAAAACTTAATGACTAACTTAAAAGATAAAATTTTTTAGTTTTCTAGTCTTTTTTTTTCCTACTAAGGGTATTTGTCCAATTAAAATTTATTTTTATTAATTTAATGACAAATAATTTTTATATAAAAAAAAATCTATATTTAAAAAAAAAATTTTTTTTGAATACTTTTTAGGTTTACATTGAAACAAAAATTATCCTTTTAAAAGAATTCATAGATTTAAATACATTACTGAAGAAAAGAAAAAAAGTACTAAGATTTTTCTAAAAATCTAGAATCTTTAAGATCAGAAGAAAAAACTTGATGCTAAGTTACATTCTGTTTAATTACAGTTATGGTTATAATCAATTGAAAATTTAAAGTAAATAAAGCAATTATATTAATTTTAATGAGATTGAGATATTAAGTTAATTTTAATGAAATGCTATCTTTGATGCATTCATTACCAAAATTTTGGGAACATATAACATTTTAAAGAACTAATTTTAACTAAAAGAACTACATGATTATGCTTTAAAAATGTAGCCTAAATGTAAAAATTTATAGTATAATCAAATAAAAATAAACAAAATATTCAAATTTTAGTTTTGATAAAATAAATTTTTAAAAAGATTGAAAATTACACATTTTTAAGACAATCAAATAATTTATGTGATAACACATATCAGTCAATATTGAAAGACTAACACATTTAAATTCCACCCAAATTTATTACTTTTATCGCACAAATACAAAAAAAATGTACCCAGTTATTTAAGAATAAAACAATTAAATGTTTAAAAAATAGTTACTATCTTTTACCTTAATAAATGATTTGACAACATCTTCTTCAACATGGTTCATTAGTAGCTTACACCCCCAAGTAACAAGTGCCAAAGGCTGAAAATAAATAAAACAGTTCTTTACACTTAAAGCAAAATGTTATTTAATAAATCAGAGTTCAGCAGAGTAAACGAAATTATACAAAATGCAATTCAACTAAAGAGCTTTCTTACTTTATCAGCAGAGAGATACATGTATGGTGTAATAATGTGTCTACGCAAGCAGCCCTTCACTATTTTTCTTAACCTTTCCACCTCCAGGGGCTCAGCACAAGGATGATATAACATTACAACAGCTCCATGCTATATAAGTAAACCACAATACGTGTATATTTTGACCTTTTTTTATAATAACACTTTTTAGATTCTTAAATAATACAAATTCTAATTTTCAATAGATGTGACACATTCATGATTTGAGGCCATTTGTTGGAAGCCATTCTAATATTACGAAAGCCTGCTTTTTGGTAATTTTCTCCCAAAATCTCCATTTTTAGCGAAAATAAGTAAATCACAACACTTAAGTGAGAAATTTGTATCACTTTCCCATTGCATCGCCCATTTGTTTTTGGTTTGACTTTAGCAGCAGTAATCTATAATAATTTTGTAATTTTAAAATTAAATTAAAATAAACTATGTTATTTTGCAAAAAGCAGAATTTATGTTTCAATTAATTTCAGAAGTTTTTTTATTAGAATAATCTTTAGGAATATTTTGTGTTTTCTTTTTGTGGTTAATATTCTAGACCTTAAAAACACCTAGAAGAAGTTTTTATAAAATTTTCTTTTCCCAAATTTAGCTTTTATTTCAAATTTGAAGATTTTTCATTTCAAACCTGAAGTTTTTTCAAGTGCAACTAAATTAAATGAGATTTTAGTGTCGTATGTGAGAATCACTCTTACCCCTCCTTCCTGCCCTATTAGGCGCTTCTTTAATATTTAAATAGCCCTATTTTATCTTGACCCCCCATTTTTCTTGAAAGTGTAAGAAAAATTACATGATTTTTCTTTATAACATGAGCATTAATAGACACTTTTATGTATAAGAAATATAAAATTATAAGATGTTATTTAAGAAAAAAAATATATTTTAATAAAATAAGTTGAAAGAGAATTTTGCTGCCGAAAATATGAAACGTTTTTCCCAGAATTACTTATCAAAAATGAAAAAATTCTAGTTTGTCACATTTTATAATTATATAAAATACTATATACAGTCAAACCCCGCTATAGTGAACCTTCAAGGGACCGAGATTTCGGTTCACTATAACCGGGAGTTCACTATATCCGTTACGCAGGTTTAACTAATGGTTCTGTAAATCCTCCCTTTTATTACACATTATTCAAATAAATGACTGAAAAATATTATGTAGTAGCAAAAAATTTGTTATTTTTTTATTACTCCTCGTCTTGCGTACAAAAAAAATTAGTAATCTCTAGCTGATGAGCAATCCTCATCATAAGATATGGAAACACTTCCCGACTATCAGATAATTTTTCCTGAGTTTCTGTTATTCCGCTTTTTAAACCTGTCTAACCTGCCATTTTAGCGCATAAAATTAGTCTCGCTTTGCAAATTCATTGACATTTGTTTAGATATTGGGAGATTGCGGCTTCTTCTAATGCCGAACCACTTCAGTAATGCTTCTTCTACATCCATGTGATCTGCTTTTCTCAAATTTTTTTCTAGCATCTAAATTTTTTTCATGAGCAGAAATTATTAACTGCCTATTTTTTCATATGTTACAAACAGTAGATTTGAATAGTTTATATTCTCTGCAAATATCAGCTTGATTGCATCCTTTTTCAATTCATTACTGATTATGCTCATTTTATTATCAATGAAGAACGTTTCACGTTTACTGCTCACCATAGTTAAATTTAAGAAACTTGTTTGCAGGCTTTTTTGAACTGAACTGAAAAAGGAATTGAAATGAGGACCTTATCAACACATATTAGTGTCCAACCCTTTGACCAATAATGAATAAATACTCATTATCTCTGACAGAAAATGCATATGCATTTATCACCTTACAATGTACATCATCTGCCTGGGTTGGAAACATCTGCTTGGTTTGTTTAGGGATGGGAAAGTGAGATTAAAAAAACAAACAAGAAAATTCCCCTCTATAGATGGTTTTAAAAATCTGTATATGTATTTATTTTGAAGTAGAAATTTCAAAATTATTACAAAAAAATGAGGAAAAAAATCAGTCCAAGATAGAAAAAAGTTCCCTATATCCAACTTCCTCACTTTTTTGGTCCACTATATCCACAAAAAATAACATTATGCGTGTATAGCAAGGCACGGGACCGAATATTTCGTTCACTATATCCGGGAGTTCACTATAAACCGTGTTCACTATAGCGGGGTTTGACTGTATTATATCCCAAAAAAGTTATAAAAGCAATTAACTAAGTGTCGCTGTCTGGAAAATGATGTCAAGTCTGTTACCATACATATATTTACATTTTTTAATCAACACAATAGGAATTTATGAATGGTTATAGTTCTCTTTGGTAACAGACATGACAAGCTTATTAAGCGTTTAAAAAAATGACATTATTGATAAGGTTTTCTTCATAATAATTTGAAGGGAAAACATTAAAATAATATAGAAAAATTATATATGTTGAATTATTCTTCAAATTAATATATTCTTAAGATGCAATCTTTTTTTCTTCTTTCATCAATTTCCAACTGACACTAAATTATGAAAATAAATGAAATACGACATGCTCAGAGAAAGCGCGTGTCAAATGACACCTTGAAAAAAATCAGTTTCCCAGATTTTAAAATGTAGTATGATAAGGAAACATTCATTTATTACCTCAAGTTTCAAAAATAAAGAGGATTAAAATATTTTATAAACAGCTTTCTCAAGTTTCTATACATTTTTAAAATGTCTTAAAGTTAAAAAAAAAAAACCTCATTTAACACATTTTTTAAACTATCCAAGATATGGATGACCAGTGTCTCCATTCTGGCCGGCAACAATTTATTTGGCTTATGTTTTTTCAGTGTAAATCTAACACAATTAATTATTTCAGAAGAAAAATCACGACTGATATACATAATAAAATTGAAAAATTTAATAGTGTGAAATAATTTATATGAAATTCATTCTAAGAACTAATAGTAAGTGACACTTTCATGCCATAGATATCTTACTTGCTATAAATTTCTATATATTAGTATTACTTACTAAAATACAAGTCTAATAAATAATTTCTGGCATCTCTTACATCTTTTTAATGTTAGTAGAAATAAAATTATCTTTTGTCATCTAAATATTTTTGTAAAAAAACAATTAAACGAAATTTACGATAATAAATCAGACTTTAATAATTTGTGGTAGCCAGTGGAATGACTTTTAGATTTTAGAATTAAATGAAATTTTAAAAAATTTAGCGTTAAAAAAAACTGGGATAGACAGTTATTTATGAGTGCATACTTGGAGTGATCTATAAGTAGGAATATACTCAACTGCCCCATTCTGTCTAATGTCAAAAATAAAAAATAGGTCAAATGTTGAGAAGGAAAGCATCCTTTTTGCTTCAGTTGAACTAATCTATTGAACTAATCTAATGAATATCTATTCTTTAAAAATTTTATAAAAATAAACAAAAGAAAAATTTCTTTGAGTGTGTGATTTCTCTTCAGTACAATATAAATAAGTTATTACGAACAAATTACTTTGTCTAAAAATAAAATATACCTCTAAATTATGCAACCATCGCTGAAGAGGAACATATATGTATTCACCATAGACTGGCCACAGGGGTCTATGATTTCCACTATAAATCAGAACACAATTTAAAAACACTTTTAATGAGAAATTTTCAGTAACTTTAGAAAAATTAAAACGATCAAATGTACTTAAATATTCATTTTATTCAACTGCATTCGCTCATCTTCTATATTTTTATAAAAAAATTATGATTAGAATGATAAAAATATAACAGTGAATATAAAGAAGGATTAACAATTAAATAAAGGCAAAAACATCAATTAAAAAGTAAAATAATCTGAAGAGCCATAAAAATAGAACATTTCAAAATCAGCTCCATTCTGTCTGTTCTATTTTACTCATTTCTTGTGGTTTTGTTGATTAATATATTATATCATCCTGTTAAATGTGTAATTATTGTTCTGCACAATAAAGTTGCAGAGATTAAAATAGTTGTTTTGATTTTAATTTGACAAATAAGGTGTTCAGATTAAATATTTGCTTAACATAGCAAAATTATGGTGAATCTGGAAAGAAAAACAAAAGTAATTGTTTAGAATTTAGAACAAGATATTTTTTCTTAAGGTCACTAATCACATTAAAATTAATCAAATATTTTCTTAAATAATAGGAAATTAATAGTATGAGTAAAAAAAAGTGTGAAGTTAATATTTCATTTCTAACAAAAACACCTTAAAAGTTTATTACTTGGAAGCTATTACATTGATTTAGTTTTTAATAACCCTGAATCATAACTACAATCAAACAAGCATAAAAGTAAAGTTCTGTTACTTGCAATTGAACACATAAAACAATCTACCTACAAACTGTATGACAAAAACATAGTCAAAAGCTATTCCTAATGGAGAAACAGATTAATTGGGATTTTATGACTTTAACAGAGTTTTATTTGCTCAATGATCTTACTGAGCAAATATTTGCTGATGAAATTATAACCAGAAAAGAATCAGAGTAAGAAAATAGTCTATATAGGCACTGTTAAATTTTTATAAAACCTTACAACTAATAAAAAAGTTGCTTTCTTGCAAGAAAATAAAATTACTTAATCCATTTGTATTTTTTTTAATAATATTTTAATTAAAATGTTTCACTATTTTTGAATTCAACTAAACATTAAAAATTAATAAGCTTATTTCCATCATATAAATTAGATCTAATTTACTGATAAAATAGTATATAAATAAGTACATGGTCATGTTAATAAAATTTCATAATAAAGAAAATTTCCAATTTTTAATTACTTAATATTATTTAAAATTAATAAAAATTCAGAAACAACACAGTGAGTAGAATAGATTTTGAATCACTTTTGCACTATTTAGGGTTAGTCCCCCAGTTCAACAAATCAAGTTTTTGAAACTTTAGATTTCCCAAGTTCATGATAGACCACTTTTCTGTGGAAAAAAGCAAAATTTTGCAGAAAAGCGTCATACTTTGATTCTTCCTCTTCTTGGGTCATTGCTTAAGCATAATGACCTTTTCCTGTAAAAGGTAGAATATCTCAGTTTCTATCAAGGAGTGGAAAAAATTTTCTTTTGATGTAGAGCAATATGAAGAGGAAAATATTTATGCATTGATTATAAGGTCAGTTAACTTTGAAAGAAAAAAATCTTATGATCTCATAAGCTTAAATAACAAAATTAACATCCAAAATGATAACAATGGGTTTTTTTCTGTATCCCAGAGTCAAAGGGGCAAATATGTAAAATAGTGTAAATAAAAAATAAATAAATAAAAATATGTATATGAGAAAATTTATAATTACGAAGTTCTAAACTTACTAAGTAGGAATAGACACACCATATTCAATCTTTTCATTCATACAGACATGTTTTGACTGAAAAATTAAATTGATATCAATTTTGTAAAATAAAATTATAACACTGATAAAATAAATAAAAGATACAAATTCTTCAGATAAATTTTAAAACATTTAAAAACAAATGATTACATATAAATTCTAATTGAAAATATCTACGTCATACAAAATTTATTTTGTTATCATATACGTACAAAAAATTATAGTTAACTAGTAACGAGTTAACTATAGTAACTAATTATAGTAAGTAAAAATTTATAGTAACTAGTTTTATTTTATAAGTAACTGATTGATATTTAAAAGTAACAGAAAGGGATTGTTATAAATTTTGGGTTAAAATACACCACATTAAAAAACCATTTATATGTGTTTTTAAATGAATTCAAATATATTTTCCCATTTAAGCTTCATAACTAATAAAGAGGAAAAAATACAATCAAAGTTTTTAAAAGTGCTAATAAATAAGCAGTAAGACTGTGTAAAAAAGTGAAATGTAAGACTATGTATTAAAGTGAAATGAGATTCTAAATACTCAAAATAAAATAATACATATTTTAAATCCTAATTCAGAAGATCTGAATGTTATTGGCAGATTGAGACAGACTGTTGCAGATGCGTTTGTAGCTCTTTAGACGGAGGCTGAAAAAAAATGGGCCTAAGCATCAACGAAATGAACACAAAATTACAAAATTTATGATTGTGACTGATCAAGAGTCTGATAGTGCACCACTGGAGGTGAATTGTCACAACTTTGAGAAAGTCACCAATTTGAATTCCTTAGAACAAGTGCGACTAACAAAAATGAATAGAATGTTGAAACTGATCACAGATGGTACAAACAGATGATACTCCTGTTTAAGAAACGAACTAAAATAAGTATGTATAAACCACTAATCCCACCGGTAGTCCTTTATATGGCAGCAGAAACTAAACATTGAGTAAACATATCCAACATATATTTTAATGAAATATGTTAATTAAATTTTTTAATTAATAAATTTGATTAATTTAATTTTAATTAATTAATTAAATTTAATAAATTTAATTTTAATCAAGATTGATAAAATTCACTGTTACATGACCACCCTGAAAACACTTTTAATGCTTGTTTAACAGCATAAGAGCTAAATGCAGATATAATGTGACAAACACAAATGATATTTTATGTTGAAGAATTAAAATTAGCATTCCAGGTAACAAAATCAAATTATGTTACAATTGAAACTGAAATAAAATAGAAAAATAAAATTAGCACAATAAAAGACAAATGTTACAAGGGTGCCTTGAAGTCAAGAAACCTGAAGGAAAGTGAGCAACATTTTTTTTTTTTAATACAATACAAATAGAATTTGCCTGATTAATTTATTAACTAGACAAAAAGTAGCACATTTCAAATATAATATTCCATCATGTAAATATAAATCTGTTTTTAAACTAAATTAGGTATATCTCTTTATTTAAAATAAAACAAAAAAGAATCATATCTTTAAAGACACTATAATGGCATTAGATTACTTTATTGATTTTAGTAGTTTAGTTAATTAAAAGTTTACTAAAATCAATAAAGTAAATTTATCATGATTAATTTGTTATAAAAGGGTTAGTAAAGGCATAAAATGATTCAATTGCTTCATATCTATCTTCAAATGTCTAGAGAGTACAACATAATAATTTAATTAAGGTATAGACTTTTATTTTATAACAATGATTTAAGTACCCAAAACAAACAACCCTAACTTGATAAAAAAAAAAAATTTCTAATCGAATCGTTAAAAATATATATGAAGTTTAACTAATTTATTTATATTTATTTTTTTGGAAAAGAATTTTTGCCAATTTTCTTTTTAACTTTAAATATTATCCTAAATCTAAAAGGAGCCTAAAACATGAACTGATATTATTAAATTAAATAATCATGTAGAAAAGTAAAAAAATACTGAAAATATGTAGTTCCTCTTACTTCTAAAAATCAGAAAGTGAATAACAAATTCTATAAAAATATTTATAAAAGTTATAGAAAATAAAAACATATTTAAAAATTTTTTTTGAAACTTAACAAACATACTCTACCTTAAGAATCATTACCTAAAATTATAAATTTTTTGAACAAAGTATATAAAAACAGCAATACATTTCAATAATAACAGATTATTATTACAGATTATCATATGTCATTGCATTATTATTAATTAGAAAGTAATAACATTATCTGAATACTAGCAAACAGTTTAATACACAAATATATAATTAACATTTATGCTAGTAGTCACAGTTTTAATCAAACTATTAAATTTTTGCTTGCCTTGCAACAGATAATAAACTATCAATTAGTCATTTTTTTTAAATAAAATGCCAGTACATTCAAAGTTTTAAGATATTTGAGTTGATGTAAGTCAATTCAATTATATACTTACAATATATTTAGATGGAATGTTGCATTCTTCAATTGGTTTCATTCCCTAAAAGTAATTAAACACAATCAAAATCATAATATGAAAAGAGTTTTTGTCCAAATGATAAATAGTTTAGAATCAAAATAAAATGTATATAAAAAATCAATTTAGAATAAAACTTACAATATTTGCTATATGTACAATGGAGTAGAAATATGATAAAAATATTATGCAATGTTAAAGTCGGTGCATGTAACCAGAATTTTAAAATAACCTTGAGTAATAGAAGAATTTAGGTGTTGTAGATATTTGTGTTTCAGTATTTTGACTCCATATATTAAAATTAAAAAAATACAAGAAGAATCAGAATGTAAGCTGTAGGAATTAACTTAAATAAAACGTATAACAATCATTTATAAAAAGATTAGTTACGGCTTGTATTAAAAGTTCTAAAATACAGCTAAGATAAAATTGAAAATTATAAAAAGATTTAAAATTAGGTCCAAAGTAACAGTTATTCAATGAATTTATATAAAAATTAAAATATGAAAAGTATACACCATTATAAATTATTTTCAAACAATAAGACTCAGTTTACAAAATTATCTTCAACAAATTTAAGCGACAATTTTATTAATAATTCAACTTACCTTAACGACAGGGAGACGATTTTTAGGGTGATAGCAAGTGTAATTTAATGGGGATCCATCCCAGTCTACAGAAAGGTTATCCTACAAATAAATATAGAGAGAGATATATACGAACTACATTTATTAATTTAATATTATTTTTAAAAAAAATTGACATAAACTTATTGTTTAGCTAAGTAAATATGCAGTATTAAATGATTAAAATAATAATTAAAATGACCAACTTAGTATCAATAGAGTGAATAAAAAATAATTTTTACAATTTCCAAAGTTTTGATTAAAATGTGTTATGTTTTCAACTAAATGTGCAACAGTAGTTTTTGTAATAGGTACTACACAAAGATTAATTATAGCCAAAAAGAAATTGGCAAAGCTACAAGATTTTAATGATAAATTATAAGTGAAAGTGGTTATTATGCACAAAGTGTTCAAATTAAATAAAAATCATAAAATACCAAAAGATTTCAGAAATACCTAATAGATTTCAGAAACTTTTAAACTCATATACAGTTTTGGGTCAAATCTTTCAAAATAACAATGAACAAAAGTATTTATTTAGTTTACATTTATAATCTCAAATAAAAACTTTAGATAAATGGATAAATCTCACAAAGGTACAGCTCATACACAATTGGGAATAAAATTAATTAAAAATTAATTTAATCAGTAATTCTAAAAGTTTACATACAGGCATAACTAAATTTGGAATATATGTGCTTAAAACAAATTATGGCCTAGCATTTGCTATTTGATAATGAAACTTAAAATTTATACCCATTACATGAGAAAGAAAAATTAAGCATTTCTAGACATAAAGAAAACAATAAGATGAAAACGTACCTTAGCATTATCACAAACATCGGATGAAATGCCCATCTTAACTCCATGCATTGAATCATGTAGACGTGACATTTGTGAGGAATCTCCAAATATTGAAACAGCTCTCTTCATAAAACCTTCTCCATCACTAAAATAAATATGCATAGTTAAATAAATTTAATAAATATATTACACGATGAAATAAATACATAAATGTTAAAAAAGACCACAACAAACTAGAAAGTTACTATTCGAAATATGTTTCGAAAAATTCATTTTTCTGTAATAATGCTAGAACTAAGAAAAATCTAAACAGCTCATTTATAAGAATTAAATTTATATAAGATTATTATTAAAAGACTGTTACCTGATTTCAATAACTGGAGAATCTTCTGATATTATTCCAATGCTGTAACTTGTAATAAAGGAGAAGAAACTAGATGTAATAATTAGTAGAATAATCATTTTTGAAAGAGATGGAGCCTACCTAAAAATATGAAATTGGATTAAAGACGCCAGTTTACAAAAAGAAGAAAAAATTGAATGTATCTTTAACAGTAATAAACATTAAGAACAACAATTAACTAGAATACCCCATATGGGGAAAAAGACAGGTTATATTTCTTATCCTCCTTTTTCTTTGCTCAGATGTATGGGAATGTGTTATGATGTTTCTCCTTATCATAATATTTTTGCATTTAGATAGTCAAAATTATATTTTAATATTTCCATGATCCTTACTTTAAGCACTAAGTTTGATGCAGTTTTGAGTTCAATATTGTTTCTCAATTTAATCAGTTTGAAAATCGAGGCAGAAACTAAACATACTTCCAGCTTCTATGACTATCTACATGCTATTGGAGAAAGCATACCTAGTGTTGCTTTGCTGGAGGTAAAAAATTTTGTTACAGGGCGCGTAGCCAGATTTTTCAACAAAAGCACCTTTTAAGCACTTAAAAATATTTTTAATCACTTTCCCCCCAAAAAAATCTTAGTTAGGATCTGTGCAGTAATTTTTTTCTTTTATTCTTTAAAGTTCTTAATTTATGAACAAATAACCAATAAAATTCAAAAACATTTTCACAAACTTCACATAATCATGATAAAAATAGATAGTTTCTGATAAATATTGCAGAAAAAATTGCAAAAATCGTGCCTTTATCGTAATTTAGTAAGACAATCGACACGGCAAAGAAAAAACCTCTTTCTAAATGATAGAAAATTAAGCACTTTTTACAACCCCCCCCCCAAAAAAAAGCACTTTTAAGGGCTTTTTAAAAATGCTAGACACCCTTAGTTATGTTCCATCTGTAGCCCATTTCAATGGCCAATAATGTCGAATATAACATTTTATGCGAAAAGCAACATCTTAGTTAACAAAAACTTTCAAACTTACTGATACACCTAAATTAAAACAGTTCATTTAATAATTTAAAAAATTTAGAATTAGGGAAACTTAACAATTTCAGAAATTTAGAGGAGATTTGTAAAATTGTGATAGTAAGTAAATAAAAATATTTAAAATCAGTTGATAATTATTTTTATTTCGTTGGTACTATTAAATATTTTGATAAAAATAACTGCATATTTAATTATTGTTATGCTCAGAAATGTCATTAAAACACATAGTTAAATTTAAAAAAATAAAATTTGAATTATGATTATAAAACACATATTTTGGTTTTGAATTACTGCATATGTTTATACAATTTAGCATGACATTAAACAAGAAGAGGGGTGTAGTCTGTGTATTGAAATGAGACACTTTGTGAAAATGAGAAGCACTGCTTCAAAAATATTGAAAAAAATTTGCCATATCAAGTATGGACAGCTGCTAATGTATATTTTTAAGTGAAATTTAATTATTTAAATTTTTAAAAATTAACAAATACATTAATAATAAGTTTTAACAAAGTAAATGATACTCAGCATGCCTGTATTTTTTAAAAATTATTAATAAAATTCAGCTTAAATCGAAATATATATTACAGTAAACTTGTAGAATTACAACATAATTTAACAGCAAAATATTTCAACATATTTATATAGCTAAATATTTCAAAATTACAACATATTAAAACAGCAAATTTATAAAAAATTAGTTTGTTAATAGTTAACTTGCTATTTATCTTCTTAGTGAATTTACTTATGTAAGTATAACAAATTAAAATATTCTTGTATTAAGTATTTGGGCTCAGGATTTATTGAATATTGGGTTACTATTTGGTTATCAATAGTGAATATTTCTCAAAACACAATTAAATAAACTTGAAAAAAATTGAACAAGATGAGAGTGGTGCATTTATTGCAATGTCTTTTTCAATTAACAATGGTGACAATTAAATTAGTTGTAATCAAAGTTACAGTTCGATAATAAAATTCAATAACATAGCTATAATAAGATAATCTTAAAAATTCTTTAATTTTCTAGTTCTTATTTGCATAACTCATCTTTGAGTTATTTATATTTAATCATTATATTATTATATTAGTTATTTATTTTATAATAATATTAAAAGAATTAATTATATTTATTTATATAATTAATTCTTTTTTTTTTTAATTTTTAGCTAGCAGAATAATTGAATGTATTAACTTTAATTTGGAAATTTATTATTATTTTTTAAATATCCTTTTAATATTAAACAAATTTAAATATTGCAGTTTATAAATTTAGTTTTGTAAAATAAGCTGATTCTGTTATTTTAAATGTTGTTCAACAAAATTATATAATTTGTAGAAACAGAACTTGTTTTTTATCATAAATTTTTAAAACTGGACCTGGATTGACCCAGTTCTTACTCGATTTTATTGTCACAATTACATAACATACATTAAAAACATATGTTTAGTTTAAAATAACTTTCCTGTAAATTAATGTAAATAATCAACACACAGCTTTTAAGCATAAATGTGAAAAAAGTTATTTAAAACTTTTAAACACACTAATAAAATACTGACAAACGAACAACTGAAAGTACTGGCGATTTCAATGACAGCAACTTTTAAGCTTATAGTGTAAACACAAGTGTTACCATTAAATAAATATTTTTTACCAAAATTCAACTAAGCAATACACCTAGAATAATCGCTCTATTAAATAAAAACCTCATCCAACTTGGTAGTTTGTTGCATTAGTTGAAAAGAAAACAAAATTATCTACAACATATGTCTCTAATTTTATGTAACTTTAATGAATATCAATGCATTTAAATCGTCATTTTTACAAATATCTTAGGTAAAAATTTGATAAAGATTATTTATTAATTTTAATTACATACAAAATAATAAAAAATGTACAAATAAATTAAAGATAGATACTACGGACAAATCTAATGGTCATACCTTTTCAGATCTTTAATGTAAAGGAATGATCATAATTCACGTGAACAATTATCGTGCCTTAAAAATAAATTCAGCTGAGCATTACACAATAGAAATATAATTCAAATTTCACAAAGGTGTAACGATAACAATTTATCTAAAGAAGTGACAGTTCTTTAGCCTAACAACACACCGACTTCGAGTTGACAACGATTTGTTTTGATGCAGAAAAATTAGAAATGTATAAGCCTTGGTTATTGTTTACCAAGGTATGAGCAGTATCACCTACACTAGCGCCAAAGCAAGGTGTATATTTTCAATCTTATTTGTAGCTAAAACATATCAAATCTTTCCACCGATTTCTATCCATTAATCTCAGACAATTTATATATTTTCATAACTTTACGAATTACAACTGGTTGAGAATTTTGAGTACTTTTCATATATCTTCCGAGAAAATGTTCTCCAATATTGGCGACTTTTATTTTTCCTGATAGGTAAAACCTGCCAAGCTCAGTAACAGCCAATCCTAGTCATTTATGTTGGTGCAGATCGGTCAGGAACATTTGATTGGCTAATATTCAGAGATAATTGCTCGTTTGTAGTTGCAAATTTAGTAGTTTCATTTTCTTTATCCCGTTTCTTTCGTTTTTCAATTTTTATTCAAAATACATTTGTACTTACAGAAAACAATAAAGGTAACAGAAATATTTGTAGGAGTGAGACCTTAAATCAATTAATCAACTAATTCCAATTTATAGATAAAATTGATATTTCTCATTCATTTTATTTCAAATTTAACATTTTATTTTTTTAAATTATGTATTTTAAGAGGAGCTAATGTTTTTTTTTATTTTTATAATATTTTAAAATGATAAATTAATAAACGAAAAAAAAAACTCTTGATTTTTTTTTAATTTTTTATTAAACTTTCCATTTTTTTTTTGTTTTTTTTTTTTTTTTTTTTTTTTGTTATGGCACTTTTCATATATTATTGCAAGCAAGGGAGCAGCGAGACCGGAATCGATCAGAGGTCACACTTTATTTTGAAGCTGGAACGCCGTTCCGGGACTTTCAATTCGAATATTACATGCTTTTATTTTATATATTTTGTTTTCTAAACTGTAAGTTGCGTAATATGTAAAAAAAAAAAATATTGTCGCTTATTTTTTCCTTCCTTTTTTTCATTCATATTTCTTTCTTTTTGCTTCCTTTCTTTTTTTTTCTTTCTTTTTCGCAAACATCAGCATTTTTTTAAATCCCATTCACAAAGTATTTTAATTTTTTGCTTTCCATGCATAGTTCGAACTACACTAATGGTTGTAATAGCTTGACATTCTATCGTATGATTAGAAAAGCAATAACAGGAATAACTAAAAATTACATATGAATAGAAATATTTCTCAAAAACTTTATTTAAGCGAAGAATAATATTAAAATATAGATACACAGGATGTTCCGTAACTTGCCATTACTATATACTTTTTGAATCCTTCCCCAAAATGAAGAAAAGAAATCGTATACACATTAAGGGATACAATTAATATTTAAAAACGCTAAAGAAAAGCTACGAACGGTATTGAAATTTATTGAATCAACAGTTCAGAAGTCAGTACTGAAAATATCAGAATCCGTTTGATTGTTTGAGAAATATGGAGGAGTTTATAATAAAGACAGTTCAGCTCCTCTCTGTTTACCAGGTCAATCAAACAGGTTTTGATGTTTTCTGTCCCTTTTCGTCTGTTGCGATTCGTTAAGATTCCGATACCGTTAATGTTCTTTTCATTGCTTGAATATTGATTTAGCATCTAATGTTGTAGGGTAAAAGGAGGAAATTTTGCTACTGGTCAATGGCCAGTTATAGTTTTATTCTTTTAACAGTGTCAAATTTTCAATAAATTGGAAATTTTTAACGATTAAAAAATCTGTTGATATTGATAATGTTGATATTTCTTTAAAAGCATTTCTCAATATATATTTGATAATCATTATAATTTTCATTTCTAAAATGAAGAAATCTTGTTAAAAACTTTCGCGAAATTAAATAATTTGCAGAAGATTACAAAATATTCATTATAACTTCATAACTGAAAAAAAAGTAATAATAAAATGCGCATGGAGTACATTTTCCATGAAAATAGTGGAAATCAGGTGGCGATTGACAAATAATGTTTTCATCAACATTTGTTTTATTAAGTCTCTCTTGGCCGGTGTTAACCGTTAACTTTGCCCTATAATTAACAGATATACTTTTTCGAATTTTTTTAGAAGGATTCTAAAAGTATATTTTAAGGTTGGTCAGCATGGTACACCCTGTATGTTTAATTACGTGAAAGAATTATATTACATCTATAGAATTTAATTTATCTCTAATGTTCTTCCTACTACTATACAGATGGGAGAGAACAGAATATAAACGTTTATTTCTCCTTCCTTTCCCACTGAAGGAAAAATGCGATTTGGGTAAAAATATTTTAGCCCTACAACACTTATTGCAATATAAAAGAAGAAAAATCTATTACGCATAAAATGAAAATAATTTCTGAAAATTAATTATTTTTGTTGATATTAAATATCAGTTTTGTAATGCAGTATTGCTTAGCTTTAATTATTTCATAATGTCATGCCTCTTTTCAAAATCAAATAGTGTGTAATTTTTTTCTTTCACTGCTTAGTGAATTTTCTTTTTTTAAACCATCCATCAATAACATATCATTCGTTAAAATCCACAATCCAGGGTCACCAAAAGAAAGAAAAAAGTTAAAAATAGGTACAAAAAATAGGCGTATGGCTATTACTGGTTGTACTCTAAAGATCACCTTAAATGCTTTTTTTTATAGATTATTTGTCAAAAATAAAGGCAAATATACAAACACATTTAAAAGCCGCTAATTATTATTTAAGAAAAGGGGGAAAAACAGCTATCGAAATCTGGCAAAATACATGAATGGAATGTGGGGAGGAAAACCCTGAAATCTGCTTGATTGCGGAAGAATATAGAGAGAAGTGAAAGAGGAATATCAGAAAAATCGTCAAGCTTCAGTCAGCAATCAAGCAGGTTTTCGTGTTCTGTGTCTCCTGTCCATAACAATATTTTGTATCATTCAGTAGCATTTTTGTGGCTTTCATTTTCTTATTTATTTTTCGATTAAATATTAATTTGTGATCTTAAGTGTGTATATTTTTTACTAGGATCCCTTAAATACAAGAATAAATACCACCCTTAAATACAAGATTAAGGGTGGTTTTTACTGCACACCCTGCATTACACATATGCACATTCTTTGTACTTCTTCTAATTATTAATAAGCTTTTTGTAACTATGGAATGTAGTTTCTAAAGATTGAGGTCTGTTGTTTACTATTTTAAGTGTATGGTTTAAATATATGTTTTAAATATCTATTTTAAACAACACCCTGACGTGCAATATGCTTAAAATATTCTTATTGTGCAATATGTCGTAGATGAATTTTTATTCTGGACGCAGCTCAAAATTACGCGCTTAAGAAAGTGGACATGGCATTTAATTCCGTTTTTCAAACTTCCCTTACAAAAATTGTTCTTTTTCTTCTTTTTTTTTAAGAATAAAATAATCAATGCATATAAATTCATAATGTTTGCCGAATCGCTTAGAGACATTTTTTTAAATAAAACTTTTTTGAGTAGCCGTTAAGACTCAATTTTTTTTTTTTACTAGGTTGTCACAGGTCCTAAAAATTTATAATAGCAGTATTAAATTGACGCTGTACGAATTTTATTTTACTTCATAACCGCAGTTAAACAAACGCGCCAATTTTAAGTTTACGACTACCGATGTTCAACTCCGTAGCCTTCAAATTTTGAACCCAATTTAGAAGGCAAGGGAACTCGCGATTCAAGTATTGGGATCAAATTTGCTTTCGCGGAGAATTTTTTTGGTGTAACTAATCTGCAGTTGAGTTACACGAAGAGGAAAACCACAAAATCTCCCACGGTTAGTTTGATGGCAAGGGGACTCTAAGCCATTATCCGTCTATCACTGAGCATATTTTACGTCAGCTCTATGGTCAATGCGAACCGGGTGCGGAATTCGTATCGACCTGCATTCACTGGAACTCGAACCCCGGTAACTTCATCAGGAGGTGAGCACTCTATTCCCTGAACCACTACAGCTTACATTAACAATTTTTAAAGCCACTTTATTCTTTAATATTCTGAACACAAAAAGGTGCCTGAGAATTTGCATCTGTAATATTCCTAACCACCCCTACCACGAAGTCTGGGCCCCGTAATGATAACTTTGCCTCATAATGATAATGGTTAGCGTTCAGAAAAAGTAAGGAAAACTAAGTATAGTCTGTCTATGGAAAGAACTCCCCTCCTCAAACGTCTGGAGCAGTGGCTGTGACTATGGTTGCGAGGTTTGACTAGTTCAAGTAAGGTGTTGGGACAATATTTGAGTCAATTTTTCGCTCGGGGTGGCGAAAAAAAGGGAATCAGGGGAGGTAAAAGCTACCCTTTACGATTCCTTGTTTCCATGGCAGCAGAGAGCCTTAGACTTTGTGGCGTGGGAAGTTCTTTGTATAGATAATAAAATATACGAGATTCCATGCTTGGTTGTTAAATTTGAGTTGAACATTGAAAGGGAGGGAGCGTTTTGAGCTAATTCCATTTTCTTAAAAGCGCATTTCGATTTTTGACCAGAATTAAAAGTTCACCGAAAATTTTAACATATTCTTTATGTGTACTGTACTAAAAATCTTTCCAGTTTAAACCAGAATTATTAGTTTAGTTATATATTGAGTTTTTTTTAAATTTTTATTTCATCTGCAAAATTTGTTAATACGCACTTCAAAAAATAATATATTTTGCGATTTCATAGTTTCAATGTAGATTGTTAGTTTTAAAAATTTTATGAGTTTTGTCTGAATTTTCATACTTTTAAGATTGAACTTAAGTTAACTTTTAACGAATTAAAAATTGCAACAGTGTTTGCTCTTAGTGAGTTATCTTAAATATTTAATAAAATATTTTTGGACTATTTCGTTTTAAATTTAATTTAAATAGTGAATAAGATTGAAATTTTACTTTTTACAAGTTGTTCTTAATAATTTATTATATGGTAAAAACAAATTTTCAGTTTGAAACCCTAACAAAGAAAATTCTAGTCCAGTAAAAAACAGATAAGTACCTTCTTCGTAAGAATTGGTAAAATGTTTGGCTGGATGGGGATTGTATATATGGGAAGTGGAGAGATGTAAATAATGCTGTCTAGACAAATATAGCATTTTTTCAGGTGAATTTCCTTCATGCCGAATCAAATAAGGACAAGTTCCAAACGATAGAACCAACAGATAAGATGTTATAAATGTTTTATGTACAAAAATCAAAGTGTTTGACTTGTACCTATTTGCGTTTATGACTTTATCTTGACAAATGAAGTATTGTTTTCATTTATTTTCCCCTCTGAATCGAATAAAACCATACAGTGTAACTAATCATTC